TACCTGTCATGAATTACTGATGATGATTGAGAAAGAGTCCCCGGTAGTTGTCGATCATCCTCATTATAGTCATTTACTACAACTAGATCTTGGGTAGCAGAAAGTGCTTGAACGAGACTTTCAGCAGCAATTCTTGTTTGATCATGAGAAGGACCGGAAACGAAGTAACTCGGAGGACGAATATTCAGTCGAGAACCCTAAATTGTATCTAGGCGTACAAAGAAAGGACATTTCTTCTCAACTTTTTCTGTATTTTCATATTATTAAAGTTAGCTTTATTCACATGTCGTACCTTTCATGACTTACCGTGTAAAGAGGAAACATTTCTATTACCAAGATCCTTCTCTTCAAGCCCCCATCCTAATTGATCAGCCAGTTTGACAGTCTCACGGTAAGACTTCTTCAAATTGTCAAATTTGTATCCAACCTGAGCATCGGAGCGCGATGTGATTGTTGATGCAATTACACTCATCCAATGCTTTTTGGTTTCGCCAGAACCTTTTTGAGTTCGCCGGAGATTAGTTGGATCCTCAAGCCAGAGTACAATTTTCTCCATCTCTGACTTGGTCCAATCGCTACTGTTTGACTCCATTATGTTAGTCAAATGAGAAACAGATAAAAGAAATAAAATTCAAGTATTAAGAGAGAAAAAAAAAAGAAGAAAAAAGAAGAAAGGGCCTGGAAAATGAAAAAAAAAAGAAGCACTTAAACAGACAGAGAGAGATGATAGATGGGTAAGAATTTAGCAAACAAGACAGATAGTAAAATAAATCAAGAGAAGAAAAGGACCACAGGTGATCGGAAACGATGAGAAGTAAGTTGTGCGGATTGGAGAAGGTGTTTGTCAGTTGGGGTTGGTCGTGGGTCACCGTTGCATTGTGATGTCAGAAGCTGATAAGGAGAGGGGGCCAACTTCAACTGCTAGTTGGGAACTGACCTCATGCCCTCCATTCAAAACGTCAACCTTCAACTTGCCAAATAATGCTGAGCCAGCCATTTTTAGCTAGTCTTCCCCACTAGTGTACTCGTGCGTCTCAGCCAAGATTTGCCTTCCCCATTTGTAGTAGTGTGCAGGGAGGTTGTTCTTTTCTACTAAAGAAGTATAGTATATTGTTACTATGCAACTAGTGGCAGAGACAACTCAGATTGCGTAAATGTGTTGCAAGAAAGTTCAACATCACCGAACAGCTAGAGGTATGGTGCCAGACACCCAAAAGGTGTCCCTGTGGGTGTTGCAAAATGAAATGCCTTATGTCATCAGGGCAGGGGTTATTAAACATCAAAAATGGTTTCTGGAGGTCTGTAGTTCAAGTCATGTTGATATCAACTTAGTTTTCACTTATGTTTATTCTAGCATAGTATTATCTGTAAAGATACTTTAAAATTAATTGAGAAAATAAGATAAATTTAAAAATTATTAGTATTTAACAGTATCAAAAAACATCTTCTCTATGCCTTTCACTTTATTATTAAAAATACTCCTATGATTCAGTAAATTCAATAATCAAAATCTTTTAACAATGTCCAACCAGCCTTTAAGTTCTCCCCATGCTGCAAGGAATTTGCAAAGTCAAGTAAAGCCAAGCACCTTAAGATCAAGGGCAAGAAGAGAACAAATCAAAGCAGAACGGATTGCGGTATGCTTGTCTACTCTATAGCTATGGGTTTCTGAAACTTGAATATCAACTGAAGTATAACATATTAGAGTGGAGAAATACAACTAAAAACACCATCAGCCAATGCATTACAGCTGAGACAATTTCGACAACGACGCTTAGAACAAGCTGTCAATCCATCAGTAGCTGCTGAAGTTACAAGCAGTATTTCGGTCCTACCCCAATCAGGTCTATCACCAGTACAGACTTCTCCCGAGCCTGAGCTACCTGTTATGTTACAATCTTGTATTCCAGTAGCAAGCAGTACTTCTTCACTTCAACCTCCGCTGGATTTAGAAATACAGCTAAAGTTGGATATTAAATCTTGGCCAAGGCGACGGATGGTTTCAGATCATGCCTGTCCTCGGCAGCTGAAAATCCTAGAAACTGCATTCAAAGATATGAGCAAAACAGTTTCTCAAAGATATACGAAGAGAAAAAAGCAACCTACTGGCCTATATTTCAAATGGCACCATCATGTCTATCTGTTTCTCAAATTACAAATAGGACAAGAGAAGGCAGCATTAAAGGGGCCTGATATATTTACTGGAGAATCAATCTCTCTCATACCACGGAAGGTCCTAGCACAAAGGGTTGCCAATGGGAGTGGAGGTGGAAGAAAGGTTTGGAACCGGATTTTGTCCAATGAGGTTGCTTGGGTTAAGAAGCGTAAAATTATAGAACCTGGACAAGGGAGAAGACAGAGAATAGTGTCACTTTTAGAGGATCCTGAAACATTACTGGCTATACGGCAGCATATTTTGACTGTCGGTGAGAGTATGTGTTTAACTTTTTTATTTTTTTTATTTCTAGTAACAACTGTAATAAATATTTTGCTAATATAATAATTTAGAACTCACTTCTATAAACTTAGCAAAAGCTATAGTTGCCCACTGGAAGGCTATAGAGTCCTCTGAGTCAGACGATTCTCAGATTATAAACCGATCAACCAGTAGCATTCGCCGAGAGGTTGAGAAAACTATTGCTTCACGCACAGCAAGCAGATGGCTCACCAAGTTAGGATTCAAGTATAAGGAGTACAGAAAGGGAATTTATAACGATGGTCACGAGCGAGAGGATGTTAAAAGATATCGTAATACGATATTTCTACCAAGATTGGAATCCTACAAAGAGCAACTCAGACAATGGGATGAGGATTTATATGAGATTCCAAATCCATTACATCTCTCGGGCGCAGTGCAACCATTGATTTTGGTAACTCAAGATGAGTGTACCTTCAATTCCAACGATGGCCGGCATTATATCTGGATACATCCAGACCATCAACCACTTAGAAAAAAAGGCCGTGGTCAGGGCCTACATGTTTCCGACTTCCTTACACCAGTTGGACGATTAGGAGATGGGAAGGCATGTGTTATTATGAAGTGTGGAGGGGAAGTCTGGTGGAATGGAGACAAATTACTGGACCAAGTAATTAACAAGGCAATACCCACCTTTGAAGCGCAGTTTCCAGGCTGTAGAGCCCTTTTTGCATTTGATAATGCACGAAATCATCTGAAATTTGCAGATGATGCATTGCGTGTTTCCGAAATGAACCTCGAACCAGGCGGAAAGAATATAAAGCGCGTGCATGACACTTTTGTCACAGACTCCGATCACCCAAACGGCGGTTTTATACAATCTATGGTCCTGGCTGATGGTAGACCTAAAGGTCTACGGATAGTTCTTCAAGAATGAGGCCTTTGGCCACAAAATCAGCTAGATTTTCGAGCACAATGTACGATTAAGTCAACAACCTCGCAATCTACTAAACTAAAAGCAACTTGCTTAAATGGAGGAACTTGTTGTGCACGTGCACTACTTGCAATACAACCTGACTTTCTCAATCAAAAAAGTCAAATTAAGCAAGCAATTCTTGATCGGGGCCATGAAGTTATTTTCTATCCCGCATTCCATTGCGAGTTGAACTTCATTGAATACTATTGGGGAGCTGCAAAGCAGTATACCCGAGATAATTGTGAGTATGATTTTGAATCTTTGAAGCGTCTAGTTCCAGAAGCTCTTACACAGGTTCCAAATCAGTTGATTTGGAAGTATTGGGCACATACTGAGCGTATTATGGAAGCTTATCGCTCTCATGTCATTTATGGCTCCAAGGAATATGAGAATCTGGTTCATCAAAAGTATCGATCACATCGTCGTGTTAATCATGTACCTGTAACTTAATGGATATTATAATTATACAATAAATTATATATTGAATTTTGAATAACCCCTGCCCTGATGACATAAGGTATTTCATTTTGCAACACCCACAGGGACACCTTTTGAGTGTCTGGCACCATATACGCCGGATTCCTAAATGGCCGGCAAACTCTCCAGACTTGAATAAGATCGAGCCTTGCTGGAATTACCTTAAGGATGCAATGATAGAGTACAACTTTACTGGAACAAGTGAGCAGACAAGGGAGGAGGTGATAAATACTCTTAGGTTTGAGTAGAACCGTATGCCTCAGGAGTTGGTTGATTGTTTCTGTATGAATTTTCACCTCAATCTGTTACAGGTTCGTGCTTGGGGAGTAGATAATAAATTTAATCCCTAACAGTGTAGAATAGTTTGCTGTACCTGAGAATATTATACAAGCTAATCCATATTTGTGTTTGGTAATTGGTGTACCAGTATATGCAAATATCGTACCCCATTGAGTTCAAAGTTCATCATATAAATCACCACCTACTGTTATATATGCTTTCAATTCCCTGAACAGTTAGTGTCTGTTCTACTCTCATGCTTCTTATGAACTATGCTTATTCTGGAAGAAAGATTCGGCTGCACTCACTATAACAAATGGGGAAGGCAAATCTTGGCTGAGACGCACGAGTATTCCGATTTTCAACGCCATTTTCAATGTAAATTCATGGTCGGTAACTTTGAATACCCTTCCTACTGTACGAGTACTAAATTTACCGGTAGCACTCGAGTATGATACCTGTAAGATACGAGATACATAAGCCAAGACCCATTTCCCCCGCACATGCTCTGTGCGTAATTAGACTAGCAAACGACGTCATGCAATGAAAGAAGTGAGGCGGGTACTGGTACTCGAGTACCGTACCGAGATCTCTTCCCATCACCGCAGAGCCGCCTACCAGGAAATCAAAACTGGTTTAAGGAACAACTCCCATGGGAATATTGTCCTAGTGGACTACTCTGGCTTCACGATGTCAAAATGCTCTTCCCCGGTATCCCCGCCCCTTTCCCCTCATCTCCTTAGCTCCTCCAGCCCTTCCCTTCTCCAAATTTTCACCCTTCTGGCATATCGCACTGGCTGCCAAAGCAAGCGTTAGCCAGTTTACGGAGGAAAAGTGGTTCACCCTATCGTAGCATATCACCCGAAGCCGAACTCTCCTAGGAGGGGGCGTGGGGGTATGAACATTTTCATGAAGTTCGCGCTCCCTCGCTCGCTCGCCCCCGCCCTGCAATTCTCACGGTACTGATATTCTCCCTATAGACCATGGTCATATGATTGGCCCCACATGTCGAACAAAGGGGTCTTTACCTGTCTCTTGTCCCCGCTCCTCTCAACAAAGTACAGGACGGATATGACGATACACTGTCTTTTGAGACCATTTCGAGATCCGCTGGCTTCGGGAGACGAGCTACAGCTTCAGACCGAAGAAATGAATTACATGGTCGGCGTTCCGCATAACAGCCAATGGAGTCCCCCGGAAATTAAACAGCATTTCAGCCTTGGGACCTTCTTCTCCTTATGCATGTTCTCCCGGCACAGCGAACTAAACTTGACCGAGCTGACCAAGATTATTTATATAGATTATGCCCACTTTCGCAGGGCAGCACCCCTCCTATTCCATCACCTCCGCAAAGACGTCTTCAAGCTGGATGAAGAGCATTACCAGAACCAGTTCACGAAGAAACTCTGCCCGGCGGACGGACTAGGCTTTAGTGGTTCCCTGTTCTTCTATTCGGATGATAAGAGTTTGATTGTAAAGTCTATTGGCCGAAGATTCGAGTATGCATTCTTATACACCACCCTCATGAATCCGCTGAGCAAGTACTACCGCGAGCACCCGGGCACACTGCTCTCAGAGATCACCGATGTGTTGTATACCTTTGATTACAGGCTTGGCGGGTGCTTGGGCGTTTCACCATCACATTACATTGTTATGGCAAACGTGCTCGAGGGATTGGACAAGGGAAAGGGATGTAAGAAATGGGATTTGAAGCCTCAGGGGTTCTTTGAGCCTACAAGGGACCTGGTGCCAGATCATATGAAGACCGAGGCGGCGAAGAGTGGTTTGGCAAATGGGTTGGACGAAGAGATCGTTCTGGCCAGGAAGCAGAAAGCTCATTTGATGTGTGCCCTCCTACTTTTTGCCTGTTCATATCCCTTCGCACTGGGGTCTGATGGTTTGATAGGAGCACCTTGAAAACAGACACCGCCTTCCTAGAAAGAATGGAAGCGATAGACTATTCTATCCTCCTCGGCCGCTACCCAATATCTATGTTTCACAAGGAAACCGGTACCGGCAAGGGCCGCGATGGCCTCGCTCTGCCGAAACGGGGTAAGATGGACTTTGTCCGCGGCGTTGTCAGCGCAGACGGAAAGTGGGTTTACAAGTTGTGTGTTTTGGATTTCTTCTGGAATGTCAAACAATTGCACCCGAGGATCATCAGAGCTGCTGGGGCAGCGCTCCCGGAACAGACGATAACGACGGAGCCGGGGAGGTATAGGGAAGAATTTTTGAAGTATGCTACCTTCAGACCCGGCGGGAAAACGCAGCGGTCCGCTAACACGAGTGATTTAGGATGATGGATGGGTATATTGTAGTCTCTGATGATGATGGTGGTGGTGGTGATGACGAATAGAGGGCTTGAGTGGCGGTGTGGTGGCGATAATGGCGTCGTATGATAGGTGTGATTGGGGTTCTTTAATCTTTGTCCCGTAAATTACCGTAGTCGTCATTGGGTGGGTGTTTGTCGAGTTTATCTATACATCGTACCGGTACCGGTATGATGCCGCATCTAAGAGTGGGGTCGTGTCCCGCCTGTGTGTACTGTATCAGAGTCTTTGAATGCCCAATCCGTGCATTACTCGTACAGATGAGTCCGCTTTCTCCAAAATAACCTCCGGCAAAACAATCCCCATGGAGACAAAACCGCGATGTTATGTTCATTCGGGCACACACGTCACAGCAACAACAACAACCACCGCAACCTTGCAGGACGACGAATCCCCCTTCCCCCGACAATAATCCTTTCTGACCCGGCTCCAAGGTGAGAAGGAAGACGACAGGGGAAACGAAGTGTCCTACCCCTATTCACATTGTCGAGCGCGCCCGCCATCTAATACCGCACTCTCACGATCCGGAGCGCCCAAAAACCTCTCTGTAGCGTGGAAATATCGCTGGGATGTTATAGTGGTACCGTGTTGACAGCTAGGGTTAGGGTCAACACCACCTCCCTTGAAGAAGTTTTTGCTTTTTCCACTTCACTTCACTTCAAGCTCCTTGCATGAGGGGTTTTTGTTGGTTGGGTGCGGATGAGGGGGGGATAGGTGAGAAAAAGAAAAGAAAAGAGAGATGGAACAGCTGGCTGGATGGATGGATGGGCACTGTAGGTACAGTACCGCAGCATATGGGACTGTATGCTGCTAGCTTGCTGGCTGGTACGGGTGGGGTGGCTACCGTACTCGAGTATTCTAACGGCAGGCAGGTACGGTGCCGGCACTGAAAACAGGCAGATACCGTGGAACATGGTATGCTGGGCCTGCGCGAACGAGAAGCAAGCAAGCCAGGGTGGTATGATAGGGTGCCAAAAGGCTGAACTCATTGAGAGGGGTAGACTATAGCGTTACAGGCATGCCATGGAAAGAAGGAAGAAGGGGGAAAAAAGGACTTTGTTTGCGGCGGCGCCTAAACTCTGATTAGAATCACAGAACCGGTCCCGGTACCGGTCCTTGTGCTTGTCCCAGTACGATGCGAATTCAGGAACGATGCGGGTACCGGTACCGCATCTTGAGGAACGTTGATTGATGGATGGATGGGCAGGAGAGGATTACTGTACGAGTACACGGGGTGGGTTTAGCTTTCCATTTCTTTTTTCTTTTTTGGCTGTGGTGCTCGTGATGGGTTGATTTGATATGGAGGGAGATCACGGTGTCATATCATACACTATCGCTAGATTGTGCGAGCCAGGCAGGGTGGGGGTTTGTTTTTTCTCTGGATCTGGGTCCGGGCTCTGGCGGGTACCGTACAATAACTTACTGTCGGCAAGGAGGGAGATGGAATCGGGTCATTGTAGTCTTTGGGTTATGGTATGGTACGAGTACTTGTAACCCGCTTGGAGATTGCCATTTTATGATCGGGGAAGCTTGTGTGTGTGGGGGGGTGGGATTGTACCGATAGGATTTTCTCGAGTACACTTTTCCTTTCTTTTTTCCTTTCTTTTCGCTTATGGATAGGTTGAGAAGGCTCTTCAGATGTCACGATGATTTATCGGGAGAAGCTGAAGAAGAGAAGACCCAGAGAGGAGAGGTTTTGGGTTGCGGCTCTGCATATTCCCAGTAAATTAACAAGCAACTGCCCTGGCTCGGGAGGGCAAAGACGGTAGGTCGCCTCTTTAGAATATGAATAATTTTGTCAGTGCTGTGGGGACAAGCCGCAGAGAATTGGAACACCCCCGTTCGTCCACTGTCCATCAACCCATCATCCTTGGACCATCCATCTTGCGGAGATCCTCTTCAGCGGGGATTTTCTTTTTTCTTTTTCCTTTTCCTTTTTTTCCTTTTTTTCCCCTTCGATCCTTGGGGGAGAGAGGAAAAAAGAAAAAGTTGGATCTCGTTAAACTTGCGACCCGCTGGATTCTTTTCTCAGTTTCCTTCTTCTTTTCTCCCCTTTCGGTCTGGGGATAATAAACTTCATCTTCGTCCTTCCGTTCCCGGGTTTGTCTGTTTTCTGTGCTTCTTCTTCTCCTTCAGCAGATCTGGAATTCTTATATAATATCATTATTCTGCGTCGCTAGAAGACTTAATTGGCACAATTAATCTGACACCCCATCATCGTTAACCATCAGCGTCACTTCATCGTCGTTGCCGTCGTCACGCTTTATTCCGCATCCAGTATCAGGTCTGCTGCCACTTGTGCAGTCTTCGGATAGAGGGGAGGGAAAGAAAAAAAAAAAAGAAAGAGACGGACAGACAGACAGACAGAGAGAGAGAGAGAGGAAGGTTCCTCACGTCGTCCATCTGGTTGTCCCCCCCCCCCCCCCACCTCTTCTCCACTCCCGCAACTTCGAGGCATCGTGCCGGTGTATATATATATTGTATATATGCCTAGGAACCTCTGAGTAGCTTCACCCCCGAATTCTGACTACATTGCTACCACTCCCACCACAACCGTTAATACCGGTACTGGTCCAATCATCACTACTGCGGGAGTCTTATCTACCGGTACTGCTGCCCGCCACCGTCGCAGCATCAATCTTTCACTCAGTCAGTCAATCAATCACCCTCCTTCCCATCACTCCCCGCCGGCTCCCCGCGTGTTCCCCTCCAACCCCCCCAATCCATCGATCCGCTTTCGGTGGTTTCGTCGCTCTTCCACACTACCTGTACTGTACCCTATCGGCTAACCCGTTTGCTACTACCACTGCTTACAACCATTACCACCTTTTTTTATTTATATTTTTACTTTTTTTCACCCTTCCATAAACTGACTGCTTTTTTTGTTAAAAAAAAAAAAAAAAAAACTCTGACTGCGAGCTCGCGGCTTTACTTGACCTGTGAAACACGGCTAGTCCCTTTCGCCACGATCAACAAGTCCTCTGGTCTGGTTTGGCGGCTGGCGGGTTGCTGTGGTTAGGTTCCTGGTAACTTTGTTGCCATTCTTGTGTTGGATTCGTTCCATGGGGAAGGGTATCGTCGCGCATTCTGAAAATCCCATATTCAATCATGTCGGGCAGCCAGCAACACTCCCCTTACAACCCCAATCCCTCTCCCAGCTTGCCCTACCGAACCTCCTTTCCCCCAACCGAGCAGCATCATCCTCCGCTCCCGAATTCTGCTGCTCACTACCCGAACCCGTCCATTCTGCCTCAGCAGGCCCATCAGCAGTTCGCGGCTAGCAGTCGTTCTGGGCCTGCTGCCTCATTACCTCCTCTGGCGACGAGTGCTCCGTACATTACTCGCTCTGGCTACTATGATCCTGTAGAATCCCGTCCCACCGATATGAGTTCTGGTTGGAGCCCGTCTGCCACTAGTACAACTAATATTGCCGCTACCGCATACGAGAGGGGGCCCTCGACACAATCTCAAACAACGGTATGTGGCCTTTTTATTTGTATTTTCACATTTTGATAGTACAGTATCTTCTTTTTTCCTTTGTTCCGGAATTATATAGGGTTGTTGTAAGCTCATTTGCCCTTTTTTTTTTTTCCCCATCATCAGAATCGAGACCTGATCTCGGCGAATTGAGTATTTTTTTTTTTTTTGTGTATCCCTTTCCTTTATCTCTCATTGGGGGTTGGGCTTTTCACAACCCTTTTCCCCTTTCCTCACTGTTTTGTGTGAGAAAAAGCTGTTTTGTTTTCCGTCTCTTTCCCCCCAACTCTTGCCCTAGTTTGTCCGTGGAAGTTAATACTAGGACTGCGACTGTTTGTGTGTGTGCTGACCCGCACGTAATAATATTTACAGAGCCGTGATCAGCGCTACAGCTACAACGGCGAATCCGCCGTCGGAGGAGCCACACAATCCCCCATCCATCCTATCGATCCAAATTCGAGACGAAGCTATCCTCTTCCTTCGCCCACCTCAACATCAAGTATTCATCATACAACCGCAGAGTTGAGATCATCGATGGGCCCTGGCGCGCTGCATTCAGATTACGCGGCTGGACCCAGTTCACCGACAGCAACGGTAAGCTTCGCGTCTGGACGCACACGTCGATTCCACATTCTTTGATCTTGACAACTCATGAATTACACTTAGAAAGCCACCCCTGCGCGCCGAGGTGGCGCAATGTCTATATCTGCCCTTCTTACCAACACCGACGAGCCTTCCACCGACACAACCACTCCCAAAAACATCCCTCGGCCTACACAAACAACCAAACGACGTTCACCAGATCGAGAGTCAAACAACAACACCAGTCCCGTCATGTTGAGAGCAAGCTTGCGGCAGCCCCCCCCTGCTAAACCGGCCACCGCTTCGGCGAGCACCTTCCGTTCAGGGGATGCTGACCCTACGGATACAGAGCTGAGCAGCAATCACGGTGGCGGTGGGGGGAAGAACGGTTCCTTTCGTGGGTTTAGGTATCACGATTCTGTCAACCTCCTGACCGATGATCCGGATAAAACGGATAGCGAACTGGATGATGGCGGCTTCGCGCAGGAGAGGGCTGAATATTTGAAGAGGGCCCGGAAACGCCATCTGGAAGTGGAGGGACGGGAGAATCAGAACCGGAAGGTAGGCTTTTCACTTTGAGACTCTCTAAATGGCGGATACTAAAAAAAAATTATGGGTAGCGTCGGCGTGTCGTTTTTCAAAATCGTCTTCACGACCAGTTTCACGCTCATGCCAAATCTTCCCGTGAACGCGCCCGCATTCAGTTCTACGATGACGCTATGGAACAAGTGATGAAGCAGGAGGAGGAGGACGAGAAGGAGCGCAAGAAGGAGCAGCAACGCAAGCGCCGACGGGAGAAGGCTGAGGTTGAGAAGAAGTTCAAGGCGGAGATCGCTGCCAAGGCTGCTGTTGAAGCTGCTGAACGAGAGGCTGCTGAGAAGCATGTGAGGGATGAGATTGCTAGGCAGCGCTCGGCGGAGAGAGCTGCTAGGGATGGACTTGACGGGGCGCTCGGCTTGGGCCCCGATATGCACGACTCAGATGCTAGCGGGCCCCCTATGGTGGTTGTTGATGAGGGTGGAAAGAAGCGGAAGCCAGGCAGGAAGAGGCAACCCAAAGAAATCAAAGAGGCGCTCGAGGCCAAGGAGGTGAAGGAGCTGAAACCGGTCGTCAAGGAGCCCCCAGTACAGGAAGTTTATGTGCCGCACGTTTCAAAGAGTTATAACCAAATCTTCGACCAAATCTGGAAGGACATCGCCAGGCGAGATATTCCGAAGGTTTACAGGGTTCAACAGACCTCTTTGGCCACGAAACAGTCGAATCTTAGGAAGACCGCCCAACTAGCAGCCAAAGAGGCTCAGCGTTGGAAGCTTCGCACCAACAAGAATGTCAAGGACACGCAAGCTCGAGCTAAGAGATGTATGCGTGAGATGATGACGTTCTGGAAGCGTAATGAACGCGAAGAGCGAGACTTACGGCGTCGTGCGGAGAAGGAGGCTCTGGAACATGCAAAACGGGAAGAAGAGAATAGGGAAGCCAAGCGACAGGCGAGAAAGCTGAACTTCTTGATCTCGCAAACCGAACTCTACTCGCATTTCATCGGAAGGAAGATTAAAACAGATGAAGTTGAGCGGTCGACGGATTCTCTAGGAGTGGACGTCGCTGCAGAGATTCCAACTAATCCCAATGCGCCCACCATACTTCCTGGACAGGAGAACGGTAAACCAGGGAAGCCCGTCAGGAGTTTCGACGATCTTGACTTTGACGCCGAGGATGATGAGACTCTGCATCAAGTTGCGGTTAACAATGCTCAGCATGCTATCCAAGCGGCACAGGATACCGCTCGTGCGTTCAATGCTCTAGAGCCCGGGGAAGGCAAGACTGATCTCGGAAATGTCAACCTTGATGAAGGCGAAATGAATTTCCAGAACCCCACCAGTTTGGGAGACATTGATATCGAACAGCCAAAGTTGCTGTCTTGTCAGCTGAAAGAGTATCAATTGAAGGGGTTGAACTGGCTTTGCAATCTTTATGAGCAGGGTATCAATGGGATCCTTGCGGACGAAATGGGTCTTGGAAAGACTGTGCAGTCGATTTCGGTCATGGCATACCTTGCGGAAACCCATAACATCTGGGGCCCCTTCTTGGTCATCGCTCCTGCTTCCACCTTGCACAATTGGCAGCAGGAGATTGCGCGCTTCGTCCCCCAGTTCAAAATTCTTCCATATTGGGGCAGTGGAAAGGACAGGAAGGTTCTCAGAAAGTTTTGGGATCGCAAGCAACTCACCTATACCAAGGATTCCCCATTCCACGTTCTCATCACTTCTTACCAGCTGGTTGTCCAGGATACACAGTACTTCCAGAGAATGAGGTGGCAGTACATGATTTTGGACGAAGCGCAGGCAATCAAGAGCTCTACGAGTTCTCGATGGAAGGCCCTTCTTGGGTTTCACTGCAGGAATAGGCTACTATTGACGGGTACCCCGATTCAGAACTCTATGCAAGGTTTCCTCCCCTCTCTCTTCTACTGCGCTTGAATAACTGTCTGACACCCTCTAGAACTATGGGCCCTTCTTCATTTCATTATGCCTAGTCTTTTCGATTCGCATGACGAGTTCAGCGAATGGTTCTCCAAGGATATCGAGAGCCATGCGCAGAGCAACACCCAGCTCAATGAAGCGCAACTTCGCCGCCTACACATGATTCTCAAGCCTTTTATGTTACGGCGTATCAAGAAGCATGTCCAGAAGGAGCTTGGTGACAAAATTGAGCTTGATGTTCAATGCGAGTTGACCTACCGCCAGAGAGCGCTATACAAAGGCCTGCGCGACAAAATTAGCATCATGGATATTATCGAGAAGGCTGCCTCCGGAGCGGACGACAATAACGCAACACTGATGAATCTTGTGATGCAGTTCAGAAAAGTATGCAATCACCCGGACCTGTTTGAAAGGGCCGAAACAAGCTCGCCGTTTGCATTTTCCAGATGGGCAGAAACTGCCTCATTTTTGCGGGAGGGTTCGAAGATTGATGTCTCTTACACGGCTAGAAATGTGATAGACTATGAGGTCCCAGCGCTGGTATGTAGAGAAGGGGGTAGATTGGAATTACCGGGACCCGACTCGGAAGCTGGGATCAGGCGTTTCATATTCAACAATCGCTGGAATATCTGGAAGCCGGATAAAATCATGGAGTCCGCACGAAAGCCGGACGGCGCGTTCTCCTGGCTTCGTTTTGCTGATACGTCGCCGGGCGAGACGTGGAAGGCTTTTCACCAAGGCGAGTTTCATAGAGCGTTGGCGTTGCGAGCGCGGAGAAATCTTTCGCGGTTTGCTGTACCTTACGACAACGACGATCCCTATGTTCCTTTTCATGCAATGTTCCTGGTTTCGGAGCTTGCGGATAGGAAAGAGGTTGCGGAAGTGGCTACCGAAGGTTATCTCGCGGACCTGATGAATGTGTCGCGAGTATACTTTCGCGACAAGATGATGCATCGTTTAGAGCCTCTTGCTAGCCCTTCGGCATCAGCACCCCCGATCAATTTGGTTTGTATAAGCCAGGGGGTGATCTTTGAGCAGCAGTCTCTTCTTTGGAATGAACGGGTTCGAAAGGTGTTCTATGGGGCTTCGGTGCTCGAGGAGCAGCGTTATATGGAGAACAAGATTGATCTTGGATTGTACCCTGTCCCTAAGGCTCTCCCCGAGCCTTCTTCGGAGAAGATGGGATATGCACATATCAGAGTTCCTTCTATGAGGCGGTTTGTCAGTGATTCGGGCAAACTGGCTAAATTGGATGCTCTTCTGACTGAACTTAAAGCCGGTGGTCACCGCGTCCTTCTGTATTTCCAGATGACGAAGATGATGGATCTCTGTGAGGAATATTTGACGTATCGTCATCACCGCTACCTCAGATTGGATGGTTCGTCGAAACTTGAGGACCGCCGCGACATGGTTTCCGCATGGCAGACAACACCTGAGATCTTTGTCTTCATTCTCAGTACACGCGCTGGTGGATTGGGTATTAACCTTACGGCTGCGGATACCGTCATCTTCTACGATAGCGATTGGAATCCAACAATCGACAGTCAAGCTATGGATCGTGCTCACAGATTGGGACAGACCAGGCAGGTGACGGTTTACAGGTTGATTACTCGTGGCACCATTGAGGAGCGTATTCGTACGAGAGCTAAGCAGAAGGAGGAGGTAAGGATGCTTTATTTCCGGCCCTTGCCATATACAATGCTAACAGTCGGTGTTCATAGGTCCAACGTGTCGTTATCCAGGGTGGTGATCCGGGAGCCAAGAAGAATACTGTGGATTTCAAGGGCACCCGTGAGGTTGCAACCTGGCTCTTTGATGACGAGGAAGCTGAGCAGCTGGAGAAGACGCTCGAAGCCAAGGAAAAGGAGGCTGAGGAAGCTAAGGCTAAAGGCGGTGCTAAGAGAGGAAAGAAGAAGGCTAAGACCGGCACAGCTGGCGAAGAGCCTAAAGCTATAAACTTGGAGGATTTGTATGAGCGCAAGGACCAATTAATGGGATTCTCCCTCGCTAACCGGATGAGTAGGTATCACGAGGGCGAAGGTCGCTTTGACGACAGCGGCAAACCTAGCGAAGCCGGAACTCCCGCTGCGAGTGCCGCGCCGGTGCCATCGAGCCGAAAGCGCGGTCCTAAGGGCGGGAACAAAAAGAAGACTACTCAAGAACGACTCGCTATGATTGATGGTGTGACGAAATGAGCCCCGACCTATCCACTAGCAGTCTCTTTTTGAACGGCCTTTTCTCCCCCACTCGCAACCAAAGTATACGCAATTGAACTCTTCTTCTCATTATGTCTTCTTTTTATTTTCTCTTTTCATCACCTTAGGCGGAGTAACAATCTATTCACAAGTGCACTGTACTATTACTGCTATTCCTCTTTTCTCTCCGTGTCGTTTCTAACTCTCGATGAACTCTGGAAAAGGTATTTGGGTAGATTCCTACTATTTCGTGTTCTTTGTTTCTTTGTTTCTTTGTTCCTTTTGCTTTTGAATCGCCTGGTTCGTTAGATGTTCTCGGGTTGCCTTTTTTTCCTGAAATGTAAGGTTTGCAAAAGGGTTTAGGGTTGGGCGGGTGGATTGAAAGGGGGTGTATGCTTTGTTGGGTGGTTGGCCGGATAAGGGGTAGTTAGGGATGTAATTAGTGGGAATAATTAACTGAGAGGTTGCCGTCCAGCGTGCCGTGTGATTTTGGATGAGTCGTTAGACTTGATCATCCTGTACAGTAGATAAAGTCAGCCAGGAGTGAGTCATGCTAAATCACTCATGTTTTGAGAAATGCGGGAAAAGTTCGCAATAAATGATTGTTAGTGATTGAGATTGAGTGTGCTGGCGTGCAGACGACCGGCGAAGCCCCTCCATGGCCGACAGTGCCGTAAGTTTGCCCATAACTCCAATACAGCCCGGCCGCGTCATTCTCTCACTCCCCTTATAAGTCCCCCTCCTGCAACCTTTGGACAGGGCATCCATCCTTACAACGAGAGAAGATGTCACAGAGATCGAACACCATTCTCCAACGCGCTCTGCGCACGCGAACGCGGAGTGAAACCGAGATGGCTGATGAGAGTTTGACCGGTATGAATTCGCACCCCTTTTATCCTCTTGTAGAACCCGATGTAAGGCATCCTGGGACTGACGCACGCAGTCGCTGAGGAGAACAAGTACACTATCTCTTCTACGGTGTTTGGGTCTTGGGAGAGGTTTAAGGGCGGGCTGAGGCGGGGCTTGCCGGAGTGGTCTGCTGAAGTCGTTTTGGCCGAGAGGCCTAGAAGGGGTATCTTAGAGGGGATTGGAAAGGAGGACTCGTTGGTGAATGCGTCTCGGGATGGGGACACGACTCCGGCCGGGGATAGCGCCCTAGTCGCCCCAAAGCCCAGATACCCGCTGCTGCGACATACGTCTGCTCCGAGTATTATTGATGAGAACCGGTTGGGCGGGCACCCGAGGTCGCTCTCGAGGACGTATCGGAGGGTGCATAGTCTTAGTATCACTAGCACCAGTAGTGTTTCCCTGTTCCCTTCGGACGCGGGACATACGGCGTCTCCTCCCGTGAGCATGTACGGGTTGCCGGAGTTTCTCCATCAGGATCCTCCACCTTCGAGGAATTCGCACGAGACTTGGCTTCCTTGTCCCCAGATTCTGGGGAATAACCCTGCCATCTCGTACCTTGGGGATACCGGCCCTCGTCCGAAGGTACCGCATGTCGTGAGTGCTACCGAACCGCCGCAGGACTCCACTAGTAGTTTTCCGCCCGGGCGGGGATGGTGGAATTACTTTTACCGTAGCGGGGGTGGGTCAACCCATGCCACAGCGCAGAGCCGGGAGGAACCGACTATAAGGGCCCCGGAGCTTGCGTTGCCTCTGATGGAACATGACAGGTGGTCAATGGATGTGGAGGCAGCTAATTCTCCCCATACCCCATTGACCGAGAAGGCGCTCCAGAAACACCAGAAACGCTTGAGATATAAAGCAAGGGTGTCTAAGCTTCGAGTGACACTCCAGAGAGCATGGGGCAAATTTGTTGACTGCTTCCTCCTGGTGGTTTGCGCCATCTGGTGGTTTGTTAGTGGGTGCGGGTGCAGATTGTTTGGTCGATGAACGAAGATTATCGGACTTCTGGTCTCACAACTTGGCAGGGTATTTGGTTTTGCCGATACGATAGTTTCTTCTTTCTCACCTCACCGGCTGAATTGGATTGTAAAGATTGGTGCGTAGGCTGCGCGCGGGGGGGGGGGGGTGTTGCAGCTGGGCTTTTTCTTCTTGCTTAATTATAAACCGGAATCTGATAATGGGGGACTGGGCGGAGTTTTGGAACCGCCGGTCGAGTGATTTGTAATGACTGTTACTGTCGTTCTCCAACCTGCAGTATGATACTTACCCTGTTAAGTTGTAGTGTAGTAGAAGTGCGGGGATGCATTAGAATATTATGATACTGGATACACAAGGAAAAATCCGCAGCTGAACACAGGTCGGGCATACAACAAAGCAATTCGCATGATACACGGGACCAAAAGCAATGCTGAGGATAGTTTGCGACCCCGCACTTTTCCTTCGGATGAGATGAGGCTTGATGCTCGGGTTGCCTACATCGCAGTGCTGTGCTGCATGTTGTCCGAGCGCTACCGATGTTATCGCAACCGTGTACCGGTATTACGTTGTTGGGGGGGGCGAGGATGTGACAGACACTCGTGCTTGGACTATGAAGTGCTGCCGAGATTGGGCTGGAGTTGTATTTGTTTATCATGGCTCGTATCATCATCGTACAGTATTTTCCCCGGATAGAGCATTATTCTCACAGAATATCTTTTCAAAAGTGCGCCGATAAATGGTACCGTACGATGCCCGGAGTGGTATTTACTTTGGGGTGGGAGTGGGGGGCGTTATTCAAAGTGTGTGTTTGCAATTTGGGATACCGGTGGGTGGGTAGTTGTTGTGCTTGGTATTCATTAATTCATGATGGTAAAATTAATTATTACATTACTTTGTAGCCACATCCTCCATTACGCTCTTTTAATAACCTCCCTCCGCTGGGGGCGGCGGCGGCGGTGGTGGTGGTGGTGGTGGCGGAGGAGGAGGAGGAGCGTACTCACAACATACACACTCCTTCCAGATCAGCCAGACGCCCACGAACCACGCCAGCAGCGCCAGGAGGAATATCACGACGACCTTGACCCACTGGTCGTGGTACACAATGATCTGGTCCCTGTCGTCGATCACCGTTTGCAGCGATACTTGTGTGACGGTTCGCGTCTCCTTCTCCATTCTCGTGATTGTGGCTGTGTCCGTGCCCGTTGTTACGCGGGAGGCGTACGTGCTTGTTATCGTTATCGGGATTGTGGAGGTTATGGTTGAGATGGGGGCGGCGGTTGTCTGTGTCAGTGTGCTGGTTATCGTTTCTGGAGGGAGGAGTGGGCGAGTGGTTGTAATTGTCGTCGTCAGGATTGTGGTTATTTGTGGGAGAGTGGTGAGGGAGAGGGAGGTGCTCGTTGTTGTGAAGGTTGTCGTGAGGATTCTGATTGTTGTTGATGTGGAGGTTGCGCTAGTGCTGGTTGTGTGCGTGGTTGTGTAGATTGTTGAGGTTGAGATTGCGGAGGTGGTCGTCGTGATGGTGTTTGTGAATATTGTGGCAGTGGATATGGTGGAGGTGGTTGTGGTGATGGTGTTCGTGAACACCGTCGCTGTCGAGATTACTGACGTCCTCGCCGTCGTGATCGTCGTGGCAGTGAAAAGGGTGTTGGAAACTGTGACGGTGTTCGGACATACAGAACCCGTGGACAGTGTTCTCGTCGCCGTAACGGTTTTCGTCGCTGTGGGAGGGATGGGCGGGTACACCGTCCTCGTCAAAGTCACCGTTACAGACCCGGTATACATCGTCCGTTCCTTAACCTTCGTTATCGTAGCCGTACATACTGGAAGCGGTGGAGGTGTAGGAGTTGTGTTCTTGCATAGGTTTATACACCTGTCGTACTTCTCAATTAGCCTTCGCACCCCGTGGCGAAAACAAGGGAGTGAGAAAGTATAGAGCATACCAATTATTTACCGCTTTTCTATCCGCCGTAAACCGCATTAGCCAGTATTCAATTTGGGGATATATCATATGATGGAGGGGGAGACCTACTTATCCTCATCGGAGCAGCAGTCCAAGCAGGTCTTGTCAAAGACGAGTTCGTACGGCACTGGTACTGCACAGTCCACCTTTGGAGCGGGGACTAGACATTTCGCTGGGCAGTCCGGGAGGCCCACATAGTCCCAGGTTCTGGGGTAGATGATGAAGGCTGCTGTCGCTTGAGCGCTCAATAGTACCAAGGTTGCAGAATATATCGAGAACCTCATAGTTTGGAAGTATTGCTGCTGGTACTGGTGAATCCGAACCGGTACCTAGTACTGGGGACGTTGGAGGAGTGGAATGAAAGGGAAGGGCACTTGCGGGTTTAGTGCTTTGTTATTCGGATCATAGATCGAATTGTGGGCGGCAGTGGGGCTGCGCAGGTAGGTGAGATAGGTAGTAAGTCCATTGGGAAATTGTAGTTTAGTTATCACCCATTGATATCTGTAGGGCTGCAGCTGATATGATACGGCAGCAGTAAGTTTGGTGGATGGATGGCGGAATGAGGTATCGCACATCGTGTCATATTTTCTCACCCTCTAAAGGTGGACTTGCCATATCGGCTTGTGCGGTACTGTACTGGACCGTAGATGGCCGATTGAGACCACCAGTTCTTGAGTATGGATAGCGGACGGCAGGGTGCACCACATACCGCATCATACAGGTACTCGAGTACAGTTTTCAGTATCGCGCAGCACGGCAACATCACCACGAGATCCATCCGTCATCCAGCCAGCCAGCCAGCCAGCAAATGGAAGAATCACGGAGGTGGTGCTCGTATCAGGTACCCCCCCTCTTCCCCTTCCTGCTCTTGCACCCTCCCAACCCCCATCCACTCCAACCCCTCTTTACTCCCCCCTCCGCACATCAACCCAGGATGCAAAACCACCCACCACCCCAACTCGCTCGCAGGCCCCCAGCCCTCTGAAACTAAGGCTCACTTTATCATCTGAAACCCCTCAACGCTGGTTCCTAGACACCAACCCTTAATCTGTTCATCTATCAACTGGCGAGTAGAGTGACCTGATGCGATGTATACTGCGGCCGGGGCTTAATTGGTGCCAACGAGGTTACCCTCAACGAAGTGTGGTCGGGTCGGGTGGCTGGTGCGAGAATGGAAAAAAGTAAATATTAGCAGTAGCCTTGTGGTTCGCTTGATCGGTTTTATTTGTTTTTTGTTGTGTTACCTTTACTAGTCATGAAGTCAGCGCGCAGGACCATCTAGAGGGGCTAGAGTACCTCAATTCGTGTGTGGGATACCCTTTTGTACTCGTACTGTAGGAGAGGAAGGCTGGGATTGGGGAGAAGGAGAGGGCTGAAATGAACGCTGTCACGGGATGAGTTGCGGGGGTTAATCAATTAGGTTGCGGTATCGCGGAAAGAAATTGTGATGTGAGTGGAGATTGCCAGGAAAAAGGAAAGGGTCAAGTGAGAGGTGGTTGTCGTAGCTGAGATCGGGCTGGGATGAATAGATGGCTTGTTGAAAGCTTGGTGTTTACGATACTCGAAGCTTAGAATGGACTAATAAGGATATATACTCCGGGAGCGGTGGAGGTTGGTGATGGGTAAATGGCGGTTGCGCCCCCGTTGCCCCCGTTGATAAGAGAGAGAGGAGTGCGATGGCGGGTGCAGTGTGGTGACACCGTCGTGAATTGGCTCGATGTCTTGGCTTGCATGTTGTATCGCATATTCTGGCTGCATATGATATCTTACTGCATTGTGCCGTAGGACTCAGCTCCTTCTTGATTGACCAAAAGACCGTTCTAAATTCTAGCGGCTTGCCGATACTCTCTCTTCCTTTCTTATTCATTTGCCCGCTTGCCACAATTCACTCGCACACTCTCATCTGTGAACTCTGGTTCACGAAGCTTGAGCATTTACTACCCCGAGTGGTATCGAGTAAGTAACCCTCCCCCCTTCCCAAACCTTTCTCCACAGCACCAAAAACTAAGCAAGTATTTGTAGCCCAAAATGTGGTACTGCCCGGTCTTTTACAAAGGCTTTTGCCCCCCGCTCCAGGACCAATCCCACCTCTACGGTCTGGGAATCCGCATAGGAATCTACTTGATATGGCTATCCTCAATTCTAGCCTACACACTTCTTCACAATCCCATCTCCCGGTACAGCTCGCGGGACCTAAACTACTGCTTCAGCTTCGCCTTCTTCCTCACCCTGACGTTGGACTCACGAACCAAGCTGCTAGACAAACACTACCAGGCCGACGCCCTGGTTGTGATCCTCCTGCTCGCGGCCACGGCGACGCTCCTGACGGCACTGGAGGTACTAGAGCGCACGCGGCCAAAGGCCAAACGGAGGGAAGAAGGCCGCAGCCCGTTCGGGGACTTTTTGAGACTGTGTCTATTGGCAGGGTTCATCGTGTATCTGAACTACTGGTGGTTCAGGGGTGTCTACGACATCAAGTCCGTCTGCGGCCGGCAAACCCACTTCTTCACGAAGCGGGTGAGGATCCTGGGCGGCTTTCGGCTCATTGGGCAGATATGGTCCCCCCTCTTAATAGTTCTGTTCATCCCGGTGTTGGCCATGGGGCTGCGCTGGGGAAATAAGAAGCGCAGACACGCCGCCCTGAATCGCCAGCATGCGCGGGAGTCCGGAGGTGGCTCTTACCCCGGCCCGTTGAACAAGGGGTACTGGGCTCCCCCGCCTCCAACGCCCCCACCCGCCGGCGCCATCAGCCCTGCATCGTCAATCTCCGACCATGAGGGGCCGAGGAGGAAGAATAAGAGGGCCCTGTTCACGGCTTGGATTCTGGGCTTCGGAGCGCTGTTCATAATCCTGTTTGTTGAGCTCATGCTGGCGTATTCAGGGAATCCGGACCAGATTAATAGGGTTAATGATAATGCGCAGATAATTCCTCTGCTGATTGGGTGCGGGGCTATGTCCTTGGTGCTTTGGAGGCTGTATGAGCAGAGGGTTAAGGTTTGTTCTCCCTTTGAATTGCTGGGGTATGGATGACTGGATGGATTGACTGACTCGGTGTGGATAGATTTGCGGGGAGGAAAATTATAGGGAGTATCAGAGGGCTTTCTTGTACGATGCTTGTGCGCCATATCCATTTAATAGGAGTGAGTCTATCCCCATCCTTACCACGAGCATGTATTATTTCCAGACCTAACACCTAGAGTTAGGCACGGTGAGGTCAGCCGGGGATCGATTCCTGAAGACTAGATCTAGGGGTTCCGGGGAAGCTTGATGGATTTTCCCCAATTGCAGAGCGGATTTCTGACGTGTTTAATGTCCTGCGATGGTACAATACAGTAATGTAATCGATGATTGTATATTAATACCAAATTGTTAAACCTATTATACCAGTCCTGCTACATACCCTGAACGTAGGAGAGAAGTGAGCAGACATATCCCCCAAAAAAGGCCACTGAAATTATCTTACCCGACACGCATAGTTTCACGCAATATTGCTACAAACGCCGGGGGGAAATAAAATAAAATAAAAGCTCAGGTCCCTGAATCTTGCTCGATGGTAGCTTTTTTGGACCACAGATTTCTCCCCTCACAATACCAGTACCCCCCCCCCCCCCGCAGTGACATTGACAGCCATAGAACGACAATATGTAGCAACAAAAAATCGTGCCCACGGTTTGCCGTGGGAGGGTATAGCGTCATGGTTTCTTCATAACCGGGTAAGATGCAATGCAAGGGTTGTTGTGGGAGAGGACGACCTCACGAGTGATATCTGATGACAATGGAATTTCGGTCCCGATAAGTGGTTGTTGCTGGGAAATGTCATGTGCAATGTCCCTTCCGCGAACCGCTAAATTCTATGAAGAGGATCCGAAATGCTATGGTTGGAAGGGAGTTGTGTTCCAACTATGATAACTTGCTGCCTCCTCCTAAGGCTTGTTATGGGGCCAATTCACTATTCGTAACTATTCATACCTGACTTTTTTTTTTGAGAGAGAGAAAGAATAGAAAGTCTTCGGAGAAAACAATGGCGGAGGTGTGGTTTCGTTGAAAACCGCTACCTTCATAGACCAATTCATCCGTTTTCGCACCAGAAAGCCTGTATAGTATTCGGGGTACTCGGGACCTAGAGTTTCTTGCTTCTACACTACAGGATAAAAAGAAAAATATTCTTTTTTCTTCTGCTATCCCGCCAATCGCGAACCCCACCCTTAAGTGAGGTCCAGAGTCGGATTCTATCACCTCGCGTAGCAGTGCTGAGTTGCCCTACAGCCCTATTGAGGAGGGCCAGGATCTCCAGTCTCCCAGCTCCCATAGGGCAGGAGTCCTTAGTTCCCCTCCCTACCCAGCGTGATTGAATATTCAATAACAACTCATGATGGTGAGAGAAATTGAACCCCCGGGCTCCTCTCCTGCTAATTGCACAGGGGTTAATCGGTTCTTGACATATTAACCACTGCTCCAGCTAGGTATCTCGCGTAACGATTCCATAAGAATGGATGCTTATCCTGATAGCGGACGGGTTTGGGTTTACCATCATTTTCACCCATAGCTATCATAAATGATATTATTATTATACAATTAGACATTGAAGAATATTTTCCGGGAAGATGCATGCTCGAGTGAGGAGAAGCCACGAGTACCTACCACTGATATCGGGCTACAAAGCCCCCTTCCTGTTCAAATGTGTGGGTACAGCACTATCTTAATAACTTTGTACAAAAGTATGACACAGTGGTAAGAGTATACTGTGGGCACGCTAAGCGAGGAGGAATTTTGTATGAAGGTAGATTGGTAGTAGTTCTTGTACTTAATTCTCTTAAGAGAGATGGGTGGTAACCCCTATTTATACAGGTGCACATCCTTCGTGTAACTAAGAGGAAATGTAAGGGAAAACATAAGTGTCGACGTGTTTGACTGTAACATAGGTAGGAAAAACATAAGTGCGAACGTGTTTGACCCTAAAGAACTGCCAAGGAAATCCCATAAAATATGCATAAATCTAAGATGGTGTGAATGGGTAATTAGAACATAATTGTAAATCAAATGACCGATGACCGTGCATGATGATGCATAAAATGTAAGAAATAAACCTGAACACCAGATAAGAAAAGCACACCATAATCCCCTAATCGTATCATGAAATATCAAATGAAATATATGTAATACATACTCCGCTGTAATAATGTCTGTAAACTAGAAATAATACTAAGTAGAGGAATATACGATATTATTAAGGAGAATATACATATGAAACGAATTAGAAAATTCAACACTTCCTTGTGGAATAACCACAGTCAGAATATTTGTGATAGGAAATAAGTTAAGCAACACAAGCTTTGGAGGGGGTTACGAATCACATGTGTAAGAAGGGGGGGGGGGGGGGGCGTATTGGGGGCCCATGCTAACAACCTGAAGGAACTATAATACAATGTTCACAGCTCATAACAATTTCGCCCCAGGTATTCCGTTTAAGCCGGGTGCCGAATATTAGGGCAAAAGTGTCCGGATGCATACAAAAGGTAGAAGTCACTAGCTTGAGTCTCCAGATAGGATAAGCGTGTCGCTTAAACATATTGGCATCCTGTTGACGCAGGTTGTGGTTGTATGGGTGGTAATATCAAGCAGTAATCTTCTCCAGTACACAAGTGAAGAATCATGACTAGTCTTTACCCAACTAACCCGTGGGTAGGCAAGGCATGGAGAACCTTAAGGGATGGGAGAAGAGCATGAATCCACTATCTGCTATAGTTCTGTGACCCGAACCTGTTTCTATAGAGGGTAGATATAAAAAGACCATGGCAGGTATCCCAGACAATCTCAGAATCCCTCCCGGCTGTTTGCTGAGTTGAAAATCAGTGGAAAACTCCAACAAGTGCGGCAAAGAATGTGAGACAATATCCTATCGCCCTCTTGCAAGTAGTGAAACAAAAACCAAAATTTTGATATAGCACTGCTTTTTGTATATTCTTTGATTGAACCAGTAGAAGGCCGCACAGTTCTAGTATCGGTATCATGTACCCCAACCGGGCTACTCTATCCTAACAACCACCAACTATTGGTTAATCGCTCAAGAGCTCTTCAATACCATCTCACCACTGCCAACTTTGTTGAGGAACTCATCATGTCCCACCGCCTCATAGAAATCAAGAAACCAAACCCTCTTACAAACTGAGTCTTGGCTCTCTTATTTGGACACACTCTCACTTCACTGCTGCTCACATTCCAATTAGTAAATTACCAAAAATAATTATGATACATGAAAGGACCTTCAAAAGCCCAAGTAGTGTTTGTTATGTGGTGCGGCAGGGAGGGTTTCTGCAAGTTCTCCACGCCCCATTGCGGCCGTGGGGGGCCGCCAAACTCTCCCCTCCCCTCCCCGCCCCCCATATTGGCGCTACTGGGGGACCCCAATTATGCTTCCAGCCATATAATTTGGTGGGGCCAATAGTGGGGCCCCATACAGGGGGTGGCCAGGGCAGGGGGCCGTATCGGGCTGGGGACAGAATGGAAGAGAAAATACGCCCCGCCCCGGGCCAAATGCCAGGACGGGACGGGGAATGGGGGCAGGGATCCGCAGTTTTCGGGGCCCTGGAGGCCCCGTAACGAACTCTAAGCCCAAGCAAGCCCCACAGTGGTTCCCATCCCCAATTTTCGGGGCCAGAGGGAATTAAAATTTGGGCCTAATCATGGCACTAGGTTGGAGAATCCAGAGCCTAGGCACCGTCAATTTTGAACTTTAGAGTAGGATGGATGCACCCCCACCTACTGGACGATATAACAAATATAGATAGCATTGGAATGCAAACCAAAAACCACCAGTGCCAGTACTTACTCACTCAAGAACCGGTTCCACAACCTGTAGGATAGGTGTCATGTGATTTGGCTTATCCTGGAACTTACCTATTACCCGAAATCTTGTGCAAAACGCCAGCGGGAAATCATAATACGTAAAGGGAAGTACCTGGACAGGGTGAATCACTCCACATCACTCACATTAGACTTCCTTTGCTTAGAACTACCATAATGAAATTGTGTTCTGCCAACTAAGTTATGGAGGATAGCCGAGGATGCTATTGTAGTGATAGTGCTGGTTACTTGCTTACCTAGTTGCTTGCTTAATATCACTTGACTTCCCCACAACATCCGATTGTTCCCAGGAAACAAATAACCTAAAAAGATACCACCACAAAGCACCCCCTGTATCGTGCTTATCACAGAAGTGCAGATACCGACTCAAATAGGAGGCCTAACTTATATTCACAGTAGGGGAGTGCGGAAAAGAAGTGCTAAATACACCAGGTAGAGGAAGCACTATGACCAGCCCGGCCTTGCCCTCTCCATCTTCAGGTCAGCGCTCACTGCACTGTAGGCCTTTGAGTGATCGACCATGATTGCATAGTTTTGAGGAGTGTTCAGAATGCATGTGCATACCCACATGAATCGAGCAGAACACTCGCGTATGCACTGACGGTCTCTGTTTGTACGGACCATATCCACTATATGCCATCATTATTGCTTACGGTGATGAGAGTAGATTCCCATACGGATCTGGAGTGTACTGTGCAGTGTTCCCAATAGGCTAGGCCAGTGATAGGCCGGCCTATAGGCCGTAGGCTGGGCCAAGGCAGGCCGCTCTGACAATGAGCCTAGGCGGATATAGGCCAAACTCAACCGGCCTGCCGAAGCCTATCAGGCCTGGTAGGAGCCTACAGGCCTGCAGGTGGGATTTTTAGAGTTGATTGTTTTAAGAGTAGCTCGATTCCTTACAACTTTCATTATGGTTTCTTATTTTATCTATATCCTCACTGGTTGGTTGAAGTATTATAACTACGCGATTATCGATCCACAACCAGCTCAAAGAAGTCCAGGAGATCTACCTCCAGATTCTCCAATATAGTCCTATCTCACAATCCTTCCTTCTAATTCAGTTTCTTTGGCAGGAATCCATCAGTGAATGTACCTACTGTGGTTAACCGAGGCCTATTAGACCTTGGGGGTTTTCATCAACCACGAGAAAATCCATATGACTACTCACATGTAGGATCAGTGCCTAATAATATTAGTGATCTTACTGATACTCGTTCTATCAGGTGGCAGGTACTTGGCCTATACGGCCTATAGCTGGGCCCGGCCAGGCCAGGCTCAGGCTTTTCAAAGCCTGCGGGTTCCGGCCGGGCTAAATCCCCCATAGTTGTGGCAGGCCGGGCCTGGCTTTGGTTCAGCCTGGCCTACCTGGCCTGTTGGGAACACTGGTACTGTGTAGCGCAGGGCACCCACCTTCGAGCCCGACAATCATACCCAAGAGGGGAAGAGACAGTTTATGGTGAGGGGTTGGTAGGATGAAGTGTGCCCACTCAGAGAACCATGCAGTGGACAAGAGGCCATAAGGA